AAAAAAGCTGACGAAAAACGTTATATACTTTTTTTTAAAAGGGAAATAATGATCTATCTGGGGGTTTTAATTAGTGAGTACACAATTGATGTTAATCACGTGTTTTTGGAATTGATCCAGTGATTTCGCAGAAGTAATCGTGCCAGAACGAATGCGCAGTGATGACTACATCAGACGTCTTCTCCAAGGGCGGAACAGTGCAAAAAAAGAGGACGAGTCCCCGAATTGGTATGACACACCAGCTCATAGGGAATTTGGAAGCGGTCATCTGGCTGCTGTCAGCTACACCGGGGGCAAACCCCATTCCAGGAGGAGACCCTATTACAAAGTTGCGGATTTGCGAGCGGCCGATGTCCAAAGTGATGTCAATCTGCTGAGTTATTACGCGAAAAATCGACAGGCAGCTGCCAGTGCCTGTGAGTAAATCAGAAATTACCATGACCATTCATTATGACAATTAGACTGGACTGTTTACTCACGGAGAGAAAAAGCCCATGATTATTTCATTTTTTACTCACATTTTCTCAATTCAATTAAAATTCAAGTCATAGCATTTTTCTCTCCGCACTGTTCATGATCTTCAGATCATTTTTTCATTTCAGTCATTTTAATTCAGGAGTTGAGTGAACAAACATTCGTTTCTATTATCTTCTATTATTAAATCAATTTTAATAATTCGACAGGAAAAAAGTGAAAGAATTTTTTGTATTTTTATCACAATTTTTTGAAGAATTTCTCCTGAAATTTCTCAATCGAATTTGAAATTATAATCATAAATTAAAAGTTCGCACTCAACTCTGAATGATCACGGAAAGCTTAATAACAGAGGGGCGTAAGTGCCAAAAAAATGGGATTGGATAAAAAATGTAATGAATATTTTTTCTCGTAGGTCTTTTAGAATTTTTATCGAATCCCAATTTTGGAATTTGCCATTGATATTTCAATTCTGTTGTGAGGCTATCACAATTATTAGATAAGGATATAGAAAAAAAATGAATCATAAATAGTAGAAAGCACGGCCTCACGACGCCGACATGTGTGATGCATTGTCTCGATTTATTTTGATTTTTTTTTTGTCCATTCCTTGACACCGTCTTATCTTGTCTCCACGTTTCTGTCTGAGAATTCTGTTTTTATTTATGTTGTGTTATGATGTATGCAACCCGTGTGTTCGCCTTTATTTTCTATTTTTTTGTCTTCCTGTTGTGATAAGTGAATTTTATGGAAGAAGAAAAATGAAATCCTAAAAATCGTCGACAATTCACAAAAATTCACTTACACTCGTCTGTTTTTTTTTTCCTATTATTTTTATGTGTCTAATGATCTCTAAAAAAGCGACGAAGAATCAGAAACTGGGAAAAGGGAGGGGAAAAATTCAGGTACAACGCACCCGATTTTTTTTTCATAATTATGTGTACGTCGGGGGCTGAATCCATTGAGAAAACGCGATAAAACTTCTGAAAATGGCGCAGAAGGACGCGTTGATATGAGCAAAAAGCTTCCACATGGAAGAAAAATTGGGATTTGATGAAAGTGCAGAAGGAACCTGAATATTTCAGGCCCTGGATGGAGGGACCGCGTACCTGAGCTTAATGAGGACCCGACTAAAAAGAAAAAACAGCAGACGCAGGATGAGGAGGACGGCTTGCCCGAGCTCGAGGAAGAATAAAAATTAATAAACAAACGGAAAAAATCATCAAACTTTAAAAATCGGAACGAAAACCCTCGGATCATCCCAGACATATCATCCCCTCAGCATTAAATAATGCGATCCTCATTCGAAATTCTTCTCCGTTTTATTATTTATAATTATTTATTTATCCGCCGGAATTATTTATTTATCCGCTGGTCCCACCGCCATTTTTACAACTGTTTATAACATTACACGATTATCAGAATTGGATTATTTTGACTAGATAGGCATTGGCTGGTATTTACGGTTAAGTATTTGCAGTAATAAATATACGTGACGTGTAATTAATGAATAAATAATTAATGAATTAACTTTATGACAAAGAAATTTCGAAATAATTATTGAAAATCGGAAAATTTCATTTTTCCTTGTTTATTATAAAAGATTATATATTTTTTCTCATTGGAAAATGCCCGGATCTCAGTAGAAATGACTAAAAAAAAAGATAATACATATAATTGTTTAAATTTAAACAATTACCTATAGAAAATCGCGTTCGAAATTCACCGGAAAATTCGCTATTTCATCACCGGAAATTCGTACAAATTTTCGGGGCAAAAAGCGACACTCGACGCGAAATCAAACAGAGCAATTACATTTTTGCGATTAATTAAATTATCAATGGCCTGAACAATTAGTGATTAAAAATCGATTGAACGAGTCTCGACTCGACGAAAATATTGAAGACTCGAGGTCGAAACATGTAGAAGTGAAATCGAATCCAATGGAATCCAATAAAAAAATTGATTAAATAATTAAAAGCAGGGAAGGAATTTATTTACGAATCTGTCAGAATGAATTTGATGTCCATAGGTAAGCTTGTGGTTAATTGAAACTAAAACCGCGATAAAATTGAGAGCAAACAGCAATTACACTGCATTAATGGAATTTTAATAAGGGGCTAGTGTTTTTTTTTTCTCCTTTTGATAATATTGCACTGTGCGCTTTGCACTTTGCGCTGCAATAATTTTTAATACTCATTTAACGCTTAGTGCATTTGCGTTTAATTGTCGGTGTTCTGTCCTGATGATGGTAATACCCTAGACCTTTTTTTTCATGTCATCCAGACCCCGATCCTCCGCTCACCGAAAGGGAGCTCAGAAAGGGTTAGTATATCGTAATTTCCTTATCATCCTATTAATTATTTGATTATTCATTGGGAGAGGGGATGAGTTACGCCTGCATTCCGATATTATAGATTTCCAGAATTAAAAAAAAATAAAATATAGATTCCATTACAATTTTTTTATTTCTTTTATTTTGTTATTTGTGAATTTTTTAAAAATGAGAAATAATTTGTGGATTCAATTAATGATTAGGGGGAAGGCATGTTTGAAATTCTAATTGATTACTTTTTTTTTTCTGTTTTTTAATTATTGAATTTGAATTGGAAATTTTGAATTTTAAATAAGAGGAATTGATTTTTTCCTTCGGTGTGTATTTTAGCTGGAATAATCGATAAAAAATGGGAAAAACTCTCTGCGCCATATGTTACAACTCAAAAAATTGATGTGAAATCATCTGTGAGAGGTTCATTCATCATGACCAGAAAAATTCCCCATGACCTTGCGAAAAATCCAATGCGGGTGATACTTATCCCTTGGTTCCCCTTAACGCACCACTTCCTCATATAATCCCGGGATGAAAAAAATCATGAGTTTGAATTTTAGCCCGAGCACTGGCCGAAGAGTTCATCGCATCAGCAGCACCAAGAGGTGAGACCATTTACATTAGGAAATTACAGACGAACCGCTTCAAAATCTGCTGCTATCGAGAGTAAAGACAGCCTCGGAATTCTTAATTAAAATTCTGTGATTGCCTCCTCAGCGTCACCAGATCCAGAGCCGGTGTGCAAACCAAATTTGGGAAAAGCCTATCAGCTACAAGAGGTCAAACAATCAGTCGTGAAGAAAGAACAAGAAGAAATCCAGGAAGAGAAGCCAGAAGTTAAAGAGAAGAAAGTGCGATCTGCTAGACGGAAATCTGCTAAAGCAGAAAAAATTGTGGAACCAGAGCCAGAACCGGTGGAGGAAGCATCAGCTACTCCAGAACCTCAACCGGAACCTGTTGAGGAAGTAGTTGCCATCCCAGAACCAGAACCTCTGCAAGAGGAAGTGAACGTTGTAAATTCAGAACCAGAACCAATTCCAGTTCAACCAGAACTACAACCAGAATCAGAAATAATTCCAGTTGAATCAGAACCAGAACCAGAACCCCTTCCAGCCGAATCAGAATCAGAACCAGTTCCAGCTGAATCAGAACCAGAACCAGTTCCAGCTCAATCAGAATCAGAACCAGTTCCAGCTGAATCAGAACCAGAACCCCTTCCAGCTGAATCAGAACCAGAACCCCTTCCAGCTGAATCAGAACCAGAACCAGTTCCAACAGAATTAGAACCAGAGCAGCAAGTTCTAGCTGAAACTGAACCAGAGCCTCAGGTCGCTGAACCTGAAGCAGAACCACAAGTAGAAGAACCATCAGAAGTTAGAACCCACACCCCTGAAGTGTTCCCTGAAGAATCAGTCGAACCAGAAGTGCAACAGCTTGAAGAACCTGTAGTTATAGAGTCTGACGAATCCCCTCGAGTCCAGGAGGAAGCAGAGATCCCTGAACCTCAAACAGATGTACCTGAAGAAATTCAAAGACCAAAAGAAGCAGAAACTCCAGCTGATCTGGAGGCTGGGGAGGAAGAAAGGGAAGGGGCTGTTGATGCTCCACAGATGCCGGATTTGGAGGGTGATCCAGCTGAGGATGTTGAAGATGTTGAGGAAGTGGAGGTCGATGATTACTGGGGAAGTGCCGAGGACAAACAGGAAACCGACGATGAGGGTAAAAAGCGTGGACTTCTTCGTCTTCTTGAAACCGCTATTGGGCCCCAGTCCGAGTGATTAAATCAAAACTCTTCAACAAAGAACTATTGAATATATTTTTTGATGTCTGTAATTCCTCTGTCTGTAAAACTCTCCAACAATACACGTCTTCAGTGTTACTTGTTGCACGTTATGTGTTTCTATCATCTCGTGAATCTATCACATCCACTTCAATTTCACTATCACCTCCTGACTATCTGTTCTAGTGGACTCTGATTTTATCATTAATACGATGTTGTTTTCACATTCATTACTGTTACGTACGTATGAAAAATTCGGGAGACATGTTCTTTTTTTTTATCTTCGTAATTTGCGAATTGAGGGTAACGCGAGGAGTTTAATTTTTAATTTTTTTTTCCATCAATTTATCACGCAAGCTAGTGGTTGTAGGAGAAGATATGGAAAGAGTAATTGAGAAAAATTTTAATTAGAGTTATCAGACTTTATCATTTGATTACTAAATTATAGTCGATATTTGATGGATTTTTTTTTGTAGACATCTTCAAAAAACATGTCCACTGAATTTCATTATACCCACCACTGATGAAATTATTGACTGAAATTTCAAGGAATTGCGTAATTGAAAATAAAAAATTTCAAGTGATTTTATAAGAGATAAATAAATAGTAAAAATTCGCTAAATACCAAATCTCCATGAAATTTTTGGAAAAATATTTGACGAGTGGTAGGTACCCGAGATCGTGGGACGATTGGTGATTTATTTATGATTTTTTTTAGTGCTCCAACGAAAGCTCGACGAGGAAGAATTGAGAAGGCAAGTGGAGGAGCTTAAAAGGCAAGCTGAAGAAGAAAAAAGGAGGCAAGCCGAACAGGCCAGGTAACAATTACCTGGTCTCTTCGATTGCCTCCATTGTCCCCTTCATATCTGTGTACCTTGTGTTATCACGTAGATTGGCTGAGGAAAGGTGGAAAGCGGAAATTGAAGAGCGCGAGAGATTGGAGAGAGAAGCGCGTGCTGCACGTCTCCGGGAAATTGAAGAGCAGGAGAAAGCGGAGGCAGAGAGAATTGCTGAAGAGGAGAGACTAGAAGCCGAGAGGACACGCGATGCTAGAATTGCTGAGGAGCAAAGGTAAAAAAATGTGTACTCAGCATTAATTTCGTGAAAAAGAAAGAACTATCCACCACTCGATAATTAATTACTTGTATTATTAATGAATCATGAAGACGTGCTGCGGAACTCGAGGAGATCATCGCCAGGGAAGAGGAGGAGCGTTACGCCATTGAAAGGGCATCCGAAGAGGCGCGCAAGAGACAGGATATTGAGGAAAAACTTGCGGAAATCGCACTATCAGCACCTGATGATTCAGCGGCTCATCGCTCCTCATCAACGGACTGTCATTGCCATGACAACACCAAGTCCCAGGATCATGAGGAGAGACCTGACAGTCCTGACGCCGATGATGACACACATGTACGCTCATTTTTTATTATTACACTTTCATTTCTATTTATCATTTTCATTTTTATTTATTACACTATAATTTTCCTGGTGAAATGAGGTGAGAGTCAAGGGGATGAGATAAAATCTGGGAAATCTGGAAAATTCAGTAAATTAGAAATTTTTAGAAGATCACTAATCAGATGACTAATTAATTTATATCAATTATTAAATATCTAATTATTATCAATTATTAAATATACCGAGACATCTTGCCATAAGTTTAGTTATTTTTTTTTCAGGTTGAAGAAGAAACAAATTGTCTGTCGACGGATCACGATGACTTGAGCGATTGTCATCCGTATGATGGGGAACACGAGGGCTTCAATAGTGTTCCAGTCCTGGAAGTACCTGTCGACCACACCCCTAAGATCGAAGAAATCACAGATGATGAGGATGCGTAATAAAGTCAACACCAGTCTCTCTTTTCTATTTTAGCTGAATCGTTCATCGATTTATGCCATCAATTTCAGAAGATCAGAGACAGAGACAGAGGCAGATCAGCACTCGGGAGATGCATCAAAGTGAATACTTTAAATATTCAACTCTACAAATTCGTATCTGAATATTCCTTTCAATTAAATTAGTTTGAAACCCGGGAAATAGAGAATGCACTAGAGAGTCAGCACAACGACCCAAAATATCTCTGGATCTAGCGGAGATAGCCCATTTTTTGTTATAATCTTTTTTGTAGGTCTTAATCAATTCTGTGAAAAAGGTAATAACCATGATTATGCTATCGGGCTTGAGTTCTGAGATATTCATCAAAAACTCACCAGTGAAAATTTAAATTTGAGCTTTTTTTTCCTGAAATCCAAAAATTTGAAAATTGTCTAGTGTTCATTTTTGATTAACTGTTTCCAAATCATTCGTTTGCATAATAGTGTGGAACAACAATTACAAGTCGATTTATTATTTATGTAATTTTTTATTACACAGACTACTGATTAATCGAGGCCTTCGATTTTTTTCAGTTGAAGTTACGAATTTTTTCTAACAGATTGTATAAAATAATACGATAGGACAATTATTGTTTAGATAATTAAGGGATTAATCTACGTTTGTATTGCGTTATCAATATTCACGGTTATTTATTCATATTTTTTAATGTAGGCGGTCTTGATTAATAAAGGATTAATTCAGATGAGTGGAGGTTGAATTTTTCATGGAATTGTGATCTCGTGTACACGTGGGGGTAATGGAGATGGGGACGAGGCAGCCAATTTATAAAATCCTCCGATTATCCTTGAAAATCATCTGAACAAGCGTCGGGTTTCATACCCCTCGTAAATTCACGACTGATCGTTTCCACGTGTGCTCAACTCCTCTTGACCCACATTGTTGACAAGTTGCAATTATTTTTATTTCATTTTAGTTCCACGTGATAAAACGTAGAACCGTCGACGGAATATGCGGATTAATAATCCTTCTGCTTCAGACTCGAAGCTGTTCACGTTTCAATTTTTCTTCATTTTTCCACTCCAACATTTTCTAAAGCCATTTTTTCCAGCAATTTCACTGGAATTTCTAGAATAATCATCGACAATTTATCGGGATTATGGCGCAATTGAATTTCAATTGATTAATGATAGTAAATTATTTGAAAGGATAAAAAATCAGAGAAAGTCAAGGCCCAATAGAATTTAATTAAATTCAATTTCCCTCAAAACGTAAATTAAACATGTCAACTATTTTCCGATCTTAACAATCTGTAGTTTAAATAATGGGACAATTGGAACAATCGTCCAGTTGAATTAGAATTGATTAACAATTTAAAGTTTAACAATTACAACTTCAAGAAAATTAGATAATCTCAAGGCAAATAATTATAATAAATAAATAAATTCCGAGCATAACCACCTGTAGTTCAATCAATCCTGACAATGGCCCAATAAAATAAAAATTGATAAACCATTTAAAATTACCCGCCAATCAATTAATCCAAATAACATAGAATCATAAAAAGTCATCGTCACCTAGAATGAAATGAAATGAAATTCTCCTGACGCCGTAAATTAAAACATTAAAACTTCAAAAAGCAATTAATTAAATTCCCCTACCCCTCCATTAATAACTCAACATTGGTCCATATAAAATAAATATTTATTGTGTAATCTCCCGATAAAATGGAGTTTGAAAACAAAAAGGCATTCCTGAAGTCACTGTGCAATTTTCTCCTATTTTTAGTCGGCGAACCCTCGGGCAGTGATATCGGACCAATGGTACAATTTCGTGCCCCCACACACGGAAGGGGGGGGGTAGTGGGTAGTGGGTGGAGGGGTGCAAGGGGTAGGGGGTAGGGGGTTATCACCTCGGCGCAATCCGCTTTCGAAAGTCGATAATGAAAATGGCGCCACACGGGTGAAGGAGGAAAAGGGAGGAAAAAGGAGGAAAAGGGAGGAAACAGGAGGAAACAGGAGGAAAAAGGCGGAAAAGGGAGGAAAAGGGTAGAAAATGGGGGGAGAGGGGGGGGGGAGGGGGTTAGTCGTTATATCGCCTACAGCTGCGGTCAAGTAGATACGTTTCTATTCGATCAGACGCAGCATTGAACCTGCAGTAATGAGAATTATGGGGCAGAGGGTTTCGGAGTGAAAGGAAGGCTTTATCTGATGCCAGATAGCACTCCCCAGAATTTCCGATCATCACATGTCAATGGGAAAATAACGGGGGATTTGGGGGTGCCTAAGTGGGATCGATGTAATGAAATAAGAGATCATTCGATGAAGGGAGACCTAGAAAAATAATTTATCAATTGTTTAAATTATTTTCACCAATTCAATTTATCGGGAATATTTTCCGTGTAAATTACCATAATGCCTATTCGAAGAATTTTCAACCCCCGTCGAAGACACATCGATCTGATGAAAATCTTTGAATTTGGAAATCGTCATCGCGTGTCGGTTTGTTTTATAACCGAGACATGGCGAATCGATGGGACTTGCACGCGATATCGTGAGTGAAATAAGTAAGAAAAAGGAAAAAAAAAAAGGGTAAACTGAGAGGAAATAACAGAAGTTTCGGTCTGGGTATATAAAAAAAGAGTCTACTGTCAGACCTAGGATATTTCTCCGGTCGTGAGCCGAGGACTGACGTCAAGACCGCGGGGTGAGAGGCAAAAGGTAGAACTGCCGGCGCCACTGAAGCAATGACGTCATTCCGGTGGGTGGTAAGGGGGTGGTATAAGGGGATGGTAGGCCGAGGGTATGAAATTGTGTGTGTACTCTACTACAACAGAGAGTACACAGTAAATCCCTCTCCCTCCGACACATGCCCTTTCTTGAAAACGTGCCGCAAACCACCCAAAACCCCCCAGCGGCCATTACTATTACGCGCGAAAAGGGGTTGCCATTCCCCCTTCAATCCCCCTTCAATCCCCCTTCAATCCCCCTCCAACCCCTTTCAACCCCGCCCCGAAAATCCATCCGACTATTCATCTTCTCGGATCCTTACATTGCAGACAGTCAGACCCCAGGCCTCTGCAAATTTCTGTCCGATGGTGAGGAAAAACTATTTTTTTCTCAGGCTTTCTATTGGTTCGTGTACCGATGGAATTCCACGGCGACTCATCACCTGGAATTTCTGAAAAAAAAAAAAAAAGAATGAAACAAAAAGCCCCCAAAACCCGGAAAATAAAATTAATTAACCAATAAAAGAACGAAAAAATAAAATTTTTAATTAAGGAAATTGAAAAATGATAGACATATTCATTATTTTTTATCTTATGATATGCGTTTTTAGTGGTTCATGTAGGAGTGGAATTTCTCAGGGAATTCATCAGCTGGAATTCACGAGAAAAGACAACGATCGAATAAAAAATTAATTTTTTATTTAATTTTCAATTGATATCAATAAATTTAAATTGAAGATTATTAACAAAATAATAAATGGGAATTTAATTCAATGATAAATTAATAACATAAACAATAAATAATAGATCGTAATCGAGGGATTACATGGTATATATATATATATATATATATTAAAAATTGATATATGCATTGTTTTATTGTCATTTCCGGTGATTTGTTGATTTGGAATTTGAAAAAAAGGGAAATATTGTAAATTTCATGGATTCGATGATTTGAATGAAATGATGTATTGACGTTGACGATTATTTCATACTCTGCAACAACTAAATACGTTACAATCAATTAATCAAGTGGTCGAACGCTGTGACGTATTTTACATTCGATTAATTAATTGCTGACTGAAATTTCGCTGGTCGATTGATGGGTTTATCTGACGCTAGGGAATTCAGAGTCTCTTCGTAAAACTGTGAATTACTTGATGACATTCAATCACTGGAGTCACCTGATTGTACCCTGGAAATAGACGGAGCCCGTGGGTGTTGGTAACACACCACTTAAATTCTTGATATCTCCAATCGATCCAGCTGATAAGGGAGACGAGAATATCATTTGTGGGAGTTGTTAAATAACCCCAGCTCTATTTTTACACCCAAGAACGTAATCTTTTTCTCGCTCTTTCCTTTCGTGACGCATATAATTGACGGATTACAACGTCACGTTCATGCGAGCCTTGGTGCACAGAATTGAGCGAAAAAAATTATTAATTCAAGAGTAAATCGCTAAAATTTTTATCGACTTTTATGATATTTCGATTTTTCACTGATATTTCATTCTTTCAATCAGTCCATTCCAATTAATCAACTAATATTTCGTTTTTAGATTTAATAAGTATCCAAAAAGTTAGGAATATTTTATATATATTATATATATATTTTATTTATATATATATTTATTTATATATTTTATGCCTGAATTTTCCATGAATTATTATTAAACGCATCTTATTACAAATTATAGAATTCTCTATAATAAAATTCGAGGATGAAATATTTTAATTTTTCCCTGAATTCCTCAAGATTTCCGTAATTTTTCCGTTGTGTGTTTGAATAAAAAAATGGACTAAATTATTGGTTTATGGATTATATAGTTTATAATGAAGGCAGGACTACTGGGACTATTTTTTTTTCAGAAAATCTTCTATGTTTTTTCGATTCCATAGTTTCGATGGGTTGTTCATGAATGGACTGAGGGGTTATAGAAACTTGGAGTAGCCGATAAATTTTTAGTACAAGCATAATACAAAGGCATTACTCGAGGGAAACTGTTATTTCATCCGATGAAATCCAATTCTCCAACAAATGATGAATAAATCGTGAATGATAACCCAACAATTGGACGAATGGGAGGTATTTTTCGAATGGAGTCTCTGCTCGGGCATTTTCCATTGATTTGCTCTCTGGAAAACGAGAGTAAGTTTCGCTATTTGAAATGGGAAATATTTGAATTTTCCGAGACGGAGGAAGATTATTTCGTCTGCTTTCAATAACAAAGTTTTCACGGACGATAAGATATTCAGTATTTCCATTCTGAACTCCTGTGTCTTATATTTTCCGAAGGCTACACCACGGAATAATCGATTTTTTCAACAAATATTAATTATTAATACTGATTCACCCTCTTTTGTACATAAAACTTAAATATAATTTTTATGTATTTTCATTCGATTTCGCGTAAATAAAAATTTATCTATTCAAATTTATTTAATGGTTCATATGAGATGGAAATAAAACGAAATTTTCAAGTATTTCATTATGAAGTCTTCGACGGTATTTTTTTATAGGGAAATTTTCCTGAGTTTTCTCTAATTTTTGGAGAATTTTCCGATCTCTGAATAAGTTCACTGGATTGGGCAAAAGCTATTGAGTATACAAGGGTTTCAACAGGGGAAGTGGATATTTTAGTTCGGATATTATCGATTGCATATAGTTGATTCTCTGGGTTTCACTTGGCAGTCACTGTCCTTTTTCCATCCCCAGGTGCCGGTCGGATTTTTCCGTCTCGATGTACCCGGGACTCATTGACGCGATTTTCCCGGAAAATTTATCCCCCACCGCGGCCCATCCCGCGAGAATTTTTATCGAATGGCTATTGAATTTCTTATCACCTCAAGGTTCAGGCTGAAATATCAATCCGTTCCGATCAATTTTCGCTGAAAAAATATAGATAAGTCGTACCGTTTCATCACTACAGAAATTACTCCGAAAATATTTGTTAATAGAGATTAATTAATGAATGGCTCATTTATTTTAAGGAAGGGGATTTGTGAGACATTATTTAG